GTTTTTTTTTCTTTTTTTTTTTTTTTTTTTAATTAGCAGCAATGGAATATTAGTATGAAAAAGGTCAGCTCCTTTCAAATACTTGGAGCGCCTGTGCCCATGTCACAACTGTTATGGGCCATTCCTTATTTCAGTTGTAAGGATGAATGATACAGCATTGGCTCTTGGCTGACAAAGTATCAAGCCACGGCCTAGGAACACATGGTTTTGCCTCCGACACCATTTAAAATGTTCTTGAAAAATTCTTCTTGCTCTTACAGATGCAGCCCCACCTCCTTCAAAGAGGCAAGTCTAATATCATCAGTTTCTCATTAACAAGCAAAGAGTGACCAAGTAGACAAAGAATACAGATTGAGATGCCATACATTCTGTAGTCTCCTTTGAAGGAAAATCAGAACAAAACTCTCATACAAATTCTTCAGCACATTATCAAGTTCAAACAGGAGTTTGCAGTACTGTAAATGTCCCTCTTCCTTTCCTTTCTCTTTGCTGTAGTAGCTACCCTTGACCCAAAGAGGTTTCCAAGGAAAAGCATATTAAATAAGGTGCAACATAACATTTAATTTTGAAACTTTACATCTCCCCATTTTTCTTTCTGCCCTGTTGTAGCAGAGGAACTCAAATTCCAGAAAAATAGCTGCATCCACCTAAAATCTTCTTACACCACATTCCCTTACCAAACCTAACACACAGGCTCTGGAGAAAGCTGGAACCTCCAAGGACAGTTGCAAACTTCACCTCTCTCCTTATCTTGAATGCAGCTAACAAAGATAATGTGAAAAAGCCTTGCCAAGAGTAGAAATATCTGCTTACCATCAGCATTCGGTGGTTTTGCTGTCGAAGGTGCACGCTGAAGCCACCCCAGCCTCCTGCTGGCAGACCTTTCCTCAGCGCCCTGTGATAGGCAGGCCGTTTCTAGAGGACTGGCTTTATAACTTTGAACAGCACCACACAGCGACAGGAATGCAGCATTAGAGAAGCCCAGCACGGCTCAGAAAGGGTTTCTTCTATCCAACTATTCTGTTTTATGAAAAACGAGCCTTTTCTGAAGGATAAAAGTACCTTAGTTGTTTTTTTTTTCATGTCAAGGATGCTATCAGTCACCTCTGCTGCTTGAAAACAATGGATGACATTCTGGCTCAAGGAAAGACATCTGCTTCCTCCTTCAGTGAATTTTATCTCTTACCAAGCAAGAACAAAATTAGACCTTGTACCACTATTGCCTTCGTTCCATGCTTTTGATGCTTATAATCCCACCTGACTACTTAATCTGAGGTTGTTATTCATAGACATGTATGGTCTGATGAAACATTCCCAACTCCTGAAAAATCTTTTTGTGTGTTGTTGGGAGATTTAGCCTAATAAGAAGTGCTTGAGTGGGTGGAGACTGGGTATGTTTGTACCATATTATACAATATGGCTTAAACTTCCATGTAATTTTATTGAAAAGCGTGAAGTTGACAAGCTAATAGTTTGTGAATCTGCCAAGTTTCTGCTGTGACATGGAGAAATATTTTGTCCAGGCTATTCCCAGTATGCCTCAAATGTGAAAAAACAGGCTGTGATCATAATACATCTTCATGTAAATCAAAGTAAATTTCTGCAGGACAAAATTTACCACTGTTATGTACTGCAGATCTCCAAATTCCTCACTTGTCCTAACAGTCGGAATGATCTCAGGCCAGCAATAAGCCAAATACTGGTTTTTAAGTAATATTTAATCTAAGCATGATGTTGTGGTCACCAAAATGAATTAGCATTTTTTTGCACTAACAAAGATCCAGGCCTAAAATCAAATGATGATGTCAAAAAATTATGAAAAATATTATTTAATTCTTCCTTTTATTACACTGACACAGAAACATGTTTCTTGGAAATTTTACATGTGAAGGAAGATTTTTTCCTATTGCATCTCCTTTCAAGAAATTCAGTTTTCTACTCAGAACTTCAATAGAGTAATTTCCATTTGTGATCACCCAGCCAATTCAAAGCAACTGTGGAAAGAAACGCTAGCAAGAATTCATTTTGTTGATCTTATCATAAATGTGAGAGAGATTTAGCTTCATCCTAAATTCCACTATATCCAAGAATGCAATAAAGAAATAATCATGCATGAATTTGAATCAGTACTGTTCCCAGTACTTATGCCACTTGACAAGCTAGAAAGCAACTTCGCTAGTGCATATTCATTCCAAATTAATACAGTAATTCTGAAAATTGCTTCTTTTTTTCCCTTCTTTTATGAATTTATTGCTTTATTTCTTTATTGCTATTTCTAGTCCATAATGCAATGCAGCTTGTGGAATGTAATCCCCTTTCTTTTCCTGACCAATCTCTACTCTGAATGCTGCATGGATGGGATCCTTTCTTTTCTGCTTTTTAACGTTTTTCTTCTCACTTTATGCATGCTCAAAAATGAGATGAATTTCTGATTATTTTCCATTTTTCCCACTTTATGAATATTAGAGTGGTTTTCTTTTGTGATGTGGCTTGGCCTGCATTTCAAAGTCCACATTATGAGTAGTTCCCTGTGATTTTTGGACACTTGGCAGTTTCTGGGTCCAGCTCAGACAACTGTTTGATTTTCAAATATTCAAAGCATTCTCAAAGCCTGTTAAGTGCAGACAATGCTTTCAGTGTTCTTTAGGTCCTTTAGGCTTATTTTTTTCATTAACCCAAAACTGAGGTAAAAATCCTGAGTTCTATGAATTCCACAGTGTTGTGCAGAGAAAGGCAGTGGGAAAACTGAGTTAAATGCAGGATTCAAGTTCTTCTTATTCTTGCACAACTAGCTGTCTAATGGACCCCATAGGCTCTCAGCAACACCAGCTGTCTCTAAAATTCAACCAACAGTGGAAATGATTACCACTATTCCATCCATGGAAAGTGAGGAAAAAATATATATTTTTTAAAGAATGGCTTGCTTAGATACCACACAAATGTATTTGCTTTTTTTTTATTTTATTTTTTTTTATTTATTTATTTATTTTTTTTACGTAGTGAAAAGGCTGTATTATAAAAGTAAACTTTTCAAGACAAAAAAAAGTAGGTATCAAGTACAGGAAAGAAACAAGAACAGTATAAAGTAATCTTTACAAAAGCAGACTGCAGATTCACTGACACCGTCTTGCTCACAGTAACACACAAAGTAATTTCACAAAAACCAGCTTTTATCTTGTTCTAATAAAACATCAAGCTAGCAACATTATGGGGAGGGCTTTCATTTGCTTTTTGATATAGCTTCTGATTGGAAGTATTAGCTGATGCAGCAGGATAAATAAAGAAATACCCAGATTGTTATGGTTCCCAAAGGTCATTTTTATGAAAAGATCAGGAAATATGTTTCATTGAAATTAAAAGTAAAGCCATATCAAGTTTAATAACACTGTTACTATAATGACATAAAATTCAGTGAGATGGTGTAATGTTTAATATTTGACTGTCAAGACTCTGCAGTGAAGCTGTGTGAAAGCATTTAAACTTCTAAAACTGAATTTCCTTTCAGTTTTACTGCTGTTTCACACCCATCTCCTTTTTTTCCTTGCCATAATATTCCATGTTTCTTTGTTGAATCTGATGTTATCAGCAAAACACAATAAAATCTCATGGAGGGTCACACCTCTGTTCCATAGAAGACTTAGCAAGGCTAGGCATCCCCAGATGACCAAAGGCTGGCTGTGCCAAATCCTTTTTTCCATCAAGTGAGAACCCCAGCAGTGTTGTAGGGCATGGCAAGAGGGACACAGTCAGGGCACAGCTACCCTCTGGGTTTTCTCAGTTGTGGCATTAATGGTGGATTAATATGAGAAGCTGCATCAGCCCTCAGCAGTTTTGGGAAAGGTCTGGCATAATGCCACTGTTCCCGGGTCTGCAGTCACATAAACAATTGTAAAGACGACTGAAGCCAGCAACTGTGAAGCCTGAGTGGTCTCTGGCGATGTACAGCCTTTTGTTGGACACTGTGCTGAGTGCTAGGATCAGAGAATTGAAAAGTTTATAGCTTGGCACAGCTCTGCAAAATTCTGATTTTCAGATAAATAAACAAAACCCTGTCTTCGTCCCTGGGACCAAAATTATTCAATACAATAAATAACAAGTAACATTCTGGAAACAAATTCTTTCTTCAAAATGCAAGCTTGGTTTAGCACATTTTCCCAGGATGAATTTCACCAGTTTAGCTTAAGAGTTGTTCAGTCTCATCAGTGTAAAAAACAAGTGGTTGTGAACATTCCTGAAACACTTACTTGAAATTCTGATAAAGGAAAGATCTGAGTGTCCTAGCCACCAGAGTTCATACAACAACAGAATTGCTTGCATTGGAAGGGACCCTTAAAGGCCATCTAGTCCAACTCCCTTGCACTGAACAGGAACACCTACAGCCAGATCCCCTTTATATAATGAAAGGCCACTATCAGGTCTTTCTGAATATTTCTCTTCTGCACGCTGAACAGCCCTGGCTGTAATACAGCTAAATATTCTGATGGTTTTACCTCATATTCTTCCATCAGCTTTGGTTGCTGACAGATGATGCAAAGATTTGAGAGACTTGCTGTATTTGTTCTCTTTGTCTTTTTGCCAGACTGGCTGTGATGAGCAGGTACTGGATATGCAGAGTTTGGTCTGTTACAGCTGTTCTAGAACATAATCTGATTCAAAAACAGGGAATGTTTGGAAACTCTTATTGGTAAATACTGTTACTGTGGATTTTATTAGTGCTGCAGATGTGCCCTTGCCATCTTTGATAGTGGTCATCACACTAGTAACGTGGTGCTTTTTACTATGTGGACAAATAGCTTTGAATGTACAACTCAAAGATCTGCCAGTCTCCATGAACAAGCTTTACTTTCTGCTGTTTGTGTCTGAGGTTATTATTTGAGCCGTGTGGATCATTCCTTGTGAAAACTGGAACTGTGAGCTATTTAGCTGGACTTATCTTTTCTATAGGTCTGACACAAAATAACTGGGGAAGGAGAGATTCTGATTCTCCATGGAGCTTGTTTTATACAAAGACCATCTTGAATTGGATGTCTGCTAATTCCTTTCTCTTAAAGACCTCAAGGAGGGCAGAAAGTATGATACATCTACATGAGTTGGACAAGGCTCTAGGCCAATAGAGATTTTAGGCAGTATTAAAACTGCCATCAGTCCCAAATCCCTATTTTTGGGTCACGGTGAGACCAGTGAAATTCTGCACATGTGCCTTAACACACCTATGTTGTTGCTATCTTGTCTCCCTTGAAAAAAATGACAAAACTGGATGGAGTTGGAATTTCAGACACGTAATTGACTGAAGCATAACATCCTTTTTATAGATTCACTGAATCAACACGTAAACATCTCTAATTAAAATGGAAGTAAGAGTTTATTTCTGCATTTTAGTTTTTCTTTGCATTTTTCTGGAAGCAGTGCAATGTAATTCAAATGCAGTGTGTGAAAGACACTGTGAAATGATGAATGAAGGATTCAAGTATTCCTTTATGAAAAATCTTTCAACATAATAGATCAATAATTATTCTTTCTATGGGGCTTTATTTTGTTGTTGGTGGTGGTATTTGGTGTTTCTTGTTGTTTGGTTCTTTTGAAGAATCCTGTAAATCCTAATAGAAATATATTTTCTATTTCTACAGTCCGGTGCAGAAGTGTATGAGAAGGGTCAAGAAATTTATGTCATAGCTGTCATTCTTCTTTCAAGACTGTTAACCTGAAATCCTGGCTTCATTGCATCTCAGCACTAATTTCAGCAAAAAGTCAGATGTTCACTCCATCATGCTTTAGAAGAAACTATCAATCACTGTGTTACATTCTGCTCTTTCTTTCCTGTTCTCTTTTCATGCTCGTCAGGTGAGTGTCCATAAATGCCACGAGGCCAGAATAAACTGATGTGTGGAAAGGCAGATGTCAGGGACAAGAAGGCA